AAACCAAACCCCAGCCCTTCCCCACACCCCCCCCCCCCCCCCCCCCCAAATTGTAAACTGTCCAGTTTATTTTTAAAAAAATATGACTACAACAGAGACAACATGAGATTTCATATCTAGACTAGCTTTCCTGGCGTCGCACAGCACAAACATACAACAGGGTTTTGTTTTTTTTCCTTAAAAGAACAAAGCAAAGAGACTGGAGTCGGGTGCTAGAGGCTTCCATTTGTTTCCAAAAAAAAGTGTCATGTACATATATAAACCCTTCCGCACAAGAAGGATCTTGTCATGTCTTGAAATATTTTTAAGTTTTGTCCTTCATGTTTTATGGAATAAAAAGTTCAGCCTTTTTATTGCATGAAACTAAAACTGGGGTCTGGGCCCCCTCACGTCTCCCTGCCAATACACCTAGCTTCTTCTTGCATAATTTCTTTTAGTTCCTCCAAATGGCAGCTGACTCTCTTTATCCTGGAGAGGAGGAGGGGGGAAAAAAATCACACACTCATCGTCATGCTGGGGGAATACTGAAAAGAGAGACAAACGCAGAGTGAGAACGGGGCACGCCAGGCTGAAATACTGAGTGCTGCTAAACTGAGGGAAGAGAGGATATAAAAGTAAGACTTGGGCTTATGAAAACGATAAAGCAACATAATTGGATCTAATAAATCAGAGAGACAGAATATGCTAGAGACTCTAATTTATCAGAGCATAATCCGCTCCGTAACTGTCTTTCCAGGGAGAAAATAACCCACCCGGTATGGGGTAGGAAGCAATTTAAAAAAAAATTAAAATGCATGCATGTATCTAATGCTAATACACTGAAAACAGGGGAGCCTCTGGCAGCTGTACACAGAACTTCAAATCCAGCATGGATATTAGTCTCCCGGTCTCAAAGATACCAGGGCGCGTTTGATCAGAGCCCGCCCAGCTGGGTCTGCACAGGCGCAGCCTGGAAACAGCAGGGAGTGCTGCAGGCCCGAGCTGACTTGCTCCAGAGCCTCAACAGGGGGTGCCAGACTTGGACGAGCAAGGGGAGCAGGTCTTAGCCGTGGCTCGCCTGCATGCAGGAGGCCTGCATAGAGCCAAGTCTCTCAGGTCAACTCCGCCAGAAGCAGGCACGTGGCCAGCAGGGATCACTGGGTTCATCAGTTTACCGTACCAAATGGAGAACAAAACTGGCCAACACCACCAGCTGGACTGCTCTCACGCTACCCTTCCCCTCCTCTCCTCTCTTACGCCCAGCTATGGCCACTTTGGGGATGTGCAGACGAAACGGGGGCCCTAAACTGAAGCCGTGGATTTTTAAAAACACCGCTTCAATTTAGGGTCAAGTAAACCCCAGTGTGGTGGCACACCCATTCACTTACCTGCCTCTCCGGCAGTGGGGAGGGGAGGGGAGCTGCCAGTGGGTGGAGCGGTCCCTGGGCTAGAGTTGGGGGCTGGTGCTTTCCTCTGCAGCAGCGGTAGGCCCCCCAGGCGGCACCCGCCCACAGACACCCAGCTCGGGGAGCCCCAGGGGGTACAGCAGCTGTGGAGGGAAGCACCAGGCCCCTGAACAGCTCAGGCAGGCAGGGCTTGGGGGTGGGGGGAGAAAGATCAGGCTCACTTATTTTTTTTTCTTTGGGTGAAGCCTGCCTTCCCGGGCTGCTGCCAGGCTGCCTGCAGGGCTTCCTGCAGAGCCCCCGAGCTGCACGAAGCCTGGTGCTTCACTCTGTGGCTGTAGGGTAGCAAATTAAAACTCCAAGGAGGAGTCTTAGTTTGCTGAGCCCCAAGTCATTTAAGGCGCACTGCACCGCTGAATTTGTTACAGCGGCTGGAATTACTGACGCGTGCAAACACCAACACCATTAAAGCAGTGCAAAAGCATTTAACCTGCTTTAAAGTGTTGTGCACACATGCCCCTCGTTTCGTCTACACACGACCCTTGTCTTTGCTTAAGACTATGAGCTCCATGGCTCATCTCCCTCTGCAGATTTCCAGATGCACAGCAAGCAGTGGGCAGGAAGCATCACACCACCTGCTTTGCCTTTGACCTGAATGGGGAATCAGTAAGGCACAGGGACCAAGTGACCCACTAACATCAGACAGTGAAGTCAAGAGTCAGAGCTTAGGCATCAAAGCCAAGTTGCTTGGACAAGGGTTAAGTATCAGGCTTGCTCTAACATTGGCTGTTCAAAGCCCCTCCCCACCCCACCCCACCCAATAGGAAGCAGAGAGGAAGTGGCCCTACAGAATGTGCTGGAACTCCACACCAAGAAGGCTTGGAGTCCTGGAAGGAGAGCGACTCACATTGTCATTTTGGAAGGAATGGAGGAAGTTGCCTCCCAGTTCGCCATCATCTCTTGGAGTGCCCGGGGGATTGCTAATGCCACTTATGTTGTTTGGAGAATTCTACAGGAGACAGGAGACAAGGAGGCACGTTACTGAGTACGGACTGACCAAACGCTTTGCTAACAATCAACAGTGGAAGGGTATTAAAGCATTGCTTCTGCTGAAGTGAATGCCTACAAGTGAGGGCTACAGAATGGGGGAGAGCTCCTGATGTCCCTTTATATCGCACTATTGCAACCTGCGAGTGCAGGCACACATGCATACACACGCATGCGCTCGCACACTCTTATTGCTGATGCTTTCTTTACAAGAAAGAATGCTAGAATGATCCACAGCTTTATGGCCACAAGACAACACTTACTTTTGGAAGTCCATCTATGTCACCTGACCCTGTATCAAAGAAAGGAAAAGAGAGAAATCTTACTAAAAACATAGCTGCATTCCTTGTTCCTATTCAGCATGGTGTCCCCCCACCCACCTCTCAGTGAGTCCATTTGATGCTGGAGCCTGCTGAGCCTGGGCAGAGGCAGCCTGTGGCTGGAAGCTGCTATCCCAGGGCCTTACTAGCAGCAGCCAGCAGGGAGGTGCAGGTCACAGCTGGGGCGAGACTGCCCCGCTTGACATCTGTCTCTGGTAAAAGGGGTCACTTGGCAGGGCTGCGCAGCACGGGTGCCGAGTGCAGCTCTCCCGACGGTATGGCACTGGCATGGCTCCTGAATGGCACCATCACAATGACAAAGTTCAGCTGCAGGGGCTTTGCCGCTCCCCACGGCCCTCTGTAGCATCGATCGAGTAGCAGCACAGCTCCGCAGCTCGGCACTGTGCACGAGCCCAGCAGAGGTTAATGAGCTGATCTGCTGCTTTCAATTAGACATGCAGCACTGAGGTTGAAGCTGCTTCTCCTTCCTGCATCTATCACGCCTGCTCAAGTGAGCCTGTGGCAGCCAGTGCTCCACATGGGTGAGGAAGAGGTGGGCCCGGGTGCATGGCTTGAGGGAGGGGGTGGTAACAAGGCTGGTTCCCACAAAGTGAGGCTTTGTGGGCTGTAGGGACAGGGAAGAACATCATTCCCAGAGCCCTGAGAGCTCAGCGCACAGGTCTCCAAAGCCACAGACCCTCAAGTAAGGAGAAAAGCAGGAAGCACCAAACAGCAGCAGCATCTTTACTCAGCCCGACCCCGAATGGCACGTCACAGGGGACACTGGGGGGGGGCAGGTTTGGTGTGCATCTACACCCCCCCGCCCCCCAAGCCTGGCAAGTACTTACCTAGTGATCCATTCATGTGATGTGGCTCCATCCCGCCCATGCCTCCCATCGGGCCGTCAGAACCAGGTCCCATTGGGAACTGAGAAAGGAAGCGACCAAAAGAATAAGCCCCCATTGTTCCCCCCAGTACCATGCACGCTAGCTTGTGAGCTGGTGGCCGCAGCTTCAGGACAGACACCAGACACTGTCCTGCAAGTGGACGGTTCAAGTTGTGCCTGCACATGGAAGTGTTACACGTTTTGCCTCTGGCAGGGAAGTCGCCTCCCTCCAAAACTTCTCAGCCTCAGAGAAATCCCAGAAAGCATTTGGCTCTGCTCCTATAATATGCAACAGAGATCAGGGCCAGCACCCTCCACCCAGGACGGGGGCTGGGGTTGACTTAGTTAATAGTGGAAGTTGCAATGGCTGTGTTCCAATTTACATCAGCCCTTGGGTATTTTCAGGACTCTGATAAATCCACGTAACCATTGGCCAAGTCTTACTCACAGTGGAGCTTAAGTGTATAGCTGGCTTTGTTCTTGTCCCTCAGCAGCATATCTGGCCCCCCACACCTCCACTATAGGGTAGCTATAAACTGATGGCAATGCTATCGCACAGCATCTAAACACTTGCTCGTCTACATGGGGAAAGCACCAGGCACAGCAATCGTGGACACCTGCATGTGCTGAGTGTGTGCCTACATGGGGAATGCCCATGCTTTATGCTAAACTTGGCTGACTAGTGGTTTGCCCACTATTGCAAAGAATGAGTGCTGGTAACTGGATGGGTCAAGATGGCCTCCCACTCAGACGCAGGGATCTCTTCACTGCATCAGTGCTGGGATAACCACCTCTCCCCACTTGGCTAGAAGAGGATTCATTTGTAACCCCCCCCCACAACTCTGTAACAAGCTGATTTACTGCTCAAAGGCACTGCAAACAGAGGAGCTGCTGGGGGACTGTGCTGTCCTCTGAGTGCACGTGGTAACAAGCTCTCTGCTCCTCTGCGAGAGAGATGTTACCACTCATGCTCTTCTGCTGCACCAGCGGAGAATCTGCCCCTGCCACAGAGCAGCAGTGTGATGTCCTGGTATGGTCGTCAGCCCTCAGCACCCTACCACTGCCAGAGGCCCATGCACAGCATCCTGGCAATTCGGGAGCTACAGTCCCTAATGCACTATGGCTGCCACCCAAACAACTGCACTTCCTTACAGCCATGAAATAGAGTTTATAGTTTTAGGGGCATGGATGCTGCCCCCAACAAATCCCCAAGTGTGCCAGTCACTATGAGCATGATGCCACCACCTGCATGCAACGATGTGCTGAGCCCTGTCCTGAGTGGCCTCCTCCCTTTGATGCCAACATACTTGTGACAGGCTCTGGTGGCCACCAGAATGGACTCCAAAACCTCTGCAGGCCACAAGCCCCTGAAACCTGACCGGGGCCCAAATTTATACCACAGGGTGCCCCCATGGCAGCAGGTTTGAACTAGCAAGTGCTCCATCTCCTTACACAACCTCCCAGCTCCCTCCTGTCCTCCACTCATGACCAACAAACTGATTGAAGCTTCAGTACCGCCTTTCACCACCACCGAGCACCCCGCAGGGTGCCCATCGGTGCTGTCTGTGGGGCCTCCTGTTGGGATAGCTGCATGTAGCTCCTGAAATCATCCATGGCAGTTGCTCTTGAGCTGTCTGAGGAGGCTGCCCTAGGGCTGAGCATACTACGTGTGTAGAGCTCCTGGCCCAGGCGACCAGCTAAGCTGGCTCTGCCATTCTTCATGGAAAAAAACCCCATTGAAGCCAACTAGCCATGCTCCAGAGTTCAGGCCAACTGGCTACCTCTGCTCAAAAGGGGCCCAGAGACCTAGGGCCCATCTACACCACCTGGTGTGCCAACCAACAGGGTGCTTCTCCATGCACTACCCCCAAATGCTACCCAAACTACTTCCCATGCTACCTCCCTGCATGGCAGGTGGGCCGATTAGCTTGGGCACATTTGCTTTTGGTGTGGAGGAAGTATGTGCAAAGCAGTGCAGCTCATGCAGGTGGTATGGACATGACCCTGGAAAATTCAGAGGGTGGAGGTTAGCATGGAGGCGCACCCCACAGCTCCTAGAGGACAATGCCAATGGCTCCTCCTCCCTCAGGCAAGCACCAAACTGCACTGGTTTTGTTTGCAGCAGTCACTCTGAGGCAAACCCACACTTGGGCACATAACAAAAAAAAAAAAAAAGGAATGGACATAATTGTTCCTGTGCCTTTACTCCAATTTTCCTAGGTTTACAACAGGATTAACGGTCCTTAAATGACTTATCCAGGCATCACAGCCAGTGGTGCTTAGGTGCCAAACTCAAACTCAGGCTCTGCCCTGTACAATCCCAGAGTATTACAAGGGAAGCAGATTGAATTATGTGTGAGATCTGAGCCCATCTTCCTTGAATGCCTGGAAAGCACCCAGCAGAGCGGGTGCATCCACACCAGGAAGGGACGCATGTCTGCCCTCCACCACCTTGTTTCTTTGCCTCTGAACAAGGAAGGCCAGCTGACTAAGAGTGACGTAGGAACTTTCTGTTCTTACATCGCTGGACCAGAAGTTCAAGACCAAAACTTTCACATCTTAAACTATATGCAAAGGGGAGCACAGAATGAAGGTTTAGGGTACAATCATCTTAACCCCCCCACAAAACCTGATCACTGTCACCTGTATTACACACCACCCTAAGAGAGCTCCCCTTCATTTCACCACCAATTTGCTGACAAGGGCTGGTACTGCCAACAACACAGAGATGAAACCCAACTGAAATGCACTGGGAGTTATGCCTTTCTACTCTCCTGAGCATCTCACTGTACGCAGGGTTGTACTCAGCTTTGCTATTTTCCTCTGAAGTCACTTTTCCTTTTCATGTAGGCTTTTATTGTTATATACACCCGAAACAAAGGAGAGGGGTGAAAATTAAGACTTGCATGTGATGACAAAACCCTTCCCAACTCATGGTGGGGGAGGGGAAACCAGCTGCAGAAGGGCAACACCTGGAATAACTTTAACCTCGTTTTCGGAAAGGACGAGATTTGAGGCTGGCTGCATCCCTTTAAGTACGACTTGCAAGCTGAACGCGCCGCTGACATGATCTTGACCAGAGCTGCGTGAATGCCATCATTTTAATAAGCATAAAAAATTAACAAAGTCGCTGAAGAGTTAATCACTTTTTGATGGTTTGTTTTATTTCTATTTTGTAACAAATGGCTGAAATCAATTAAACTGCTTTACCCTCAACTGATGAAGTTAATTATGATTTGTTATGGTATCTGATATGTAAATTATTAGAAAGCAGACTTACATTCGATCGACTGCCTGCAGGCGGTACTGGATTAATCATTGTGTAGATGTTGTCACTTGAATTTGTTGAATCTGTAGAACAGCGAAGCCCAGTAAGTCAGGGTGATTAATTCATTTCTTAATTAAAACAAACTCACGCCACTTGAACTCATTCTTTTGTATTTTATCACCTAAAATTCCCTCTAAGTACCACCATTTTCTGGCTAATTTGTATTTAATGAAGATTCACAAAGTTTTTAATCACAGAAATTCAACTGTGAAAATAATTCAACTACTAACTGAGAACTGCAGGGCTTGCTTGTCAGAAGAGGCGTAGAAAGATAATTTGCTGCTATGTATCACTTAACACCTCAAAATTATCCAAAGCAATGTTCTTATTACAGTGTCGACATTAAAAAAAAAATCCCCAACCTATTATAAGACAGGAGACCTGTGTCTATATAATGAACCTAGTAACAGATACACAGTTTTAAATCAAGTCGCAAAATATAAATGCACAAATGAAACGTGGGTTGTAGCGGCTGACTAGGGGCACCTATTAACATATGGATTGTTTTATTATGACCCAGCCTGAAATGTAGGTCAGAGTTCTCATAAAAATGCAGAAGCCGAGAGAGAGAGAGAGTCGTAATATTACATTTTAGCTCCACCCCTGCAGCTGTGGTACACCACAGTTACAGAGAGCAAGGCTACTTCCCAGGAGCCCAGCCGCCCTCCCCTCCTACTGATCACTACAATGCTTATTAAATCAGCCTTGCAAAATTGTCGGAGGAATTCGCAAGGCTGGGCAGACCCAACGCGCCCACCTTTACAAAGGGAGGAGGAAAAAATTCTCCGCAACTTGGGAGATTCGCTCGCCTCCCAGCAAAGAGCAAAAAAAGAGAAGCTGCCTGCCCCTGGCAGGTACAATTTTGCAACGCTGGTTTTGAAAAAGCCCCAGCAAGTTAACGCATTTGAGCCAGAAAAAAAAAAAAAATGGCTGCATCCCCGCAACACACCTTTTTTCAGCCTGACATTGTCCTTTTTATAAAGCGAGAAGGCGCCCGAGTTAAAACGAACAGCGGAAGCGAGGAGCCTTTTGAGTAAAGAGTTTGGATTTCTTACATTTATTGTATTTTTAAAAGGGGTGAACAGAATTTGGTTCCTCTCAGCCTCTAACCCAGGGGTGGGCAAAATGCGGCCCGGGGGCCGGATGCGGCCCGCCAGGCCATTCTATCCGGCCTGCGGGGCCGCTAAAAAATTTAGAAAATTAATCTGCCCTGGCTGCCTGTCATGCGGCCCTCGATGGCTTGCCAAAACTAAGTAAGCGGCCCTCTGCCCAAAATAATTGCCCGCTCCCGCTCAACTAACACCCAGGCAACTCCTTTGCTAACTGGCACAGAGAAGTGGGGTGGGGGAAAGAAGACAGAAACACACTCAATTTTTTATAAGGGCGTTTTGTCATGGGATGTGCAGCATTTTGCACGTTTCTTAGTAAAGCACAAGGCTGAGTCGCATTAGAAGGCCGGGCAAATTCAACAGGAAGCGACAGTCGCTTTTTAGGGAACCGGGGATCTGGGTGCCAGCGGGCACCTTCCCACTTCGCGCGGTCACGCGGAAGCACCCCCCATTTTAGCCCTCCGGGAACTCAAGCTTCCAAGAGGTTGAGCGAAAAAGCCACAATTCAGACACAACCACAGGGGGAAAAAAAAGCATGGAGCACAGCAGTGCTCGAGTGCCAACTGATGAACAAAGGGGTCGGGTCTGTCATTTAAAAGCACCCAGGAAGTTGGGGAATTTTTTTTTTTTTTTTTTTTTTTTTTTTTTAAGGGCTGAATTGAACGGCTGTTGAATATTACCTGCAGGACTAGGCATGATAGGTGTCCCGGGAGGGCCTCCACCACCAGGGGGCCCCTGTAGACAAGATTAAACACACATCAGAAACCACTGTGATAACACACTGCAATAGGTCAGCGAGATCCTGCTGCTGTCAGCAGGA